AAACTAAATGGCTTTTGCACAGCAAAGGAAACAATCAATGGAGTGAAGAGACAACCTGTAGAATGGGAGAAAATATTTGCAAACTACTCACCCAACAAGGGACTAATATCCAGATTATACAAGGAACTCAATTTAATAGCAAAAAAAAAAAAATCTCATTGAATGAAATAAATAGACATTTCTCAAAAGGAGACATACAAATGGACAAGAGGCATATAAAAAATGCTCAGCACCACTAATTATCAGGCAAATGCAACTTAAAACCACAATGAGATACCATCTTGCCCCAGTTAGAATGGCTATTATCAAGACAACAAGAAATAACAGAGGCTGGTGAGGACGTGGATAAAAGGGAACTCTTACACACTGTTGGTGAGAATGTAAATCAGTACAGCCACTATGGAATAGAGTATGCAGGTCTCTCAAAAAACTAAAAATAGAACTACCATATGATCCAGTGATCCCACTACTGGGTATTAATCCAAATGAGAGGAAATCAGTATATTAAAGGGATACTTGTACTCCCATGTTTACTGCAACACTATTCACAATAGCTAAGACAAGCAATCAACCTAAGTGTCTGTCAGCAGATGAATGGACAGAGAAAATGCAGTACATACACACAATGGAATATTATTCAGCCACAAAAAAGAATGAAATTCTGTCATTTGTAGCAACATGGAAGGAATTGGAGGTCATTATGTTAAGTAAAATAAACCAGGCACAGAAAAACAAATATCACATGTTCTCATTCATATGTGGGAGCCAAAAATGTGGATCTCATAGAGGTAGAGAATAGAATGATGGTTATCAGAGGCTGGGAACCATGAGTGAAGAAAGATTAGTTAACGGGTACAAACATACAGCTGGATAGAAGGAATAAGTTCTAGTGTTTGATAGCACAGTAGGGTGGCTAGTAAATAGCCAGTAAGTGACTAGTAGGTAAGTAGCACAGTAAGGCAGACTAGCACAGTAAAGTTCCTTAAACCTTAACAATGTATTACATATTTCAAAATAGCTAGAAGAGAAGAGCTGAAATGCTTCCAACACAAAAAAATGATAAATGGTTGGGGTGATATACTAAATACCCTGATTTGATCATTACACATTATATGCATGTATCAAAGTATCACAAGTACCCTAAAAATATTTACGATTGTGTTAATAAAGAAAATTAATTTTTAAAACAGCAAACTTACCCACCATGCCCCCGATTTTGCATTCCTTCCAACAAAGCCTCCATCACCAAATCCCCTTTGTTTTGGCAACTGAGAAAGAAAAAAAATTAGTCATGAGAAAATTCAGTTTTTAAGTTCTAACATTCTAACTTACAACCTAAGAAGGTGAATGAAAGCATGCAAATAACAATGAGAAAATGCAGCACTTTTTAAGATGACTGTAGAAGCAGTCAAATAATATCACTTCAAGAAATATCAGGACCGGCCGGGCGCGGTGGCTCACGCCTGTAACCCTA